GGCGCCTCGGCGGCAGCGCGCCGCCCGCGGCGCGGAACGGTCGCCGAACGAGAGGGGGGGATGGGGGAGAGGGGGGGGGTTACGAAATCTGCTGCATGCAGCTGGTTTCGGCCCCACCAAGGGGCCCATTTCCTCGATACATAGACGCCTCCGGCGCCGGGAGGCGCCGGGAAAATCAGCGACGTGAGCTGATTCTCAAACATCCCCTTTGCTATTCCCCCCTTTCGCCTGGCCCGGGCGGCCCACGCGGTGGCAGGAATCGGACGGGGGGCGGGCCTTTGTTACCGTCGCGTCGTAGATATGTGTAAAAGCCTCCGGCCCGTGCCGCCGATCGGGTGCGCTCCAGGTGCAGTGGGGTGTGAGCCTCAGGGGGGGAGCGAATGAGGAGAGGATGGTGGGGGGCGGAGGTGGTAGGAGACAGTCGCACCGAGTCCGCCGGCCCGTCGGCCAGCGGGTCCCCTGGGGGGGCGGGTGGGCCGGGGCCTGGTCACTGTATTTGCTGTGCGAAGGCGCGTGTCCCAAAGGAGTCGGAGCCGGAGTCGGAGAGATGGGAAGAGACCAAAAGTCGGAAAGAACATACGAGCCGGAGTCGGAATTTGCATACTATGCTAACAGAAATAATCAGGATCGTAAGCCGGAGTCTGAAAGAGTGGAGTTGGAATCGGAGCTGGGGTCGGGGAGGTGGGATGGGAGCTGGAGTCGGAGAGACAGGAGCCGGAGTCGGAGCCTGAGTCGGAGAGATGGGAGCTGCAGTCGGAGCTGGAGTCGAAGAGATGGGACGGGCGCTGGAGTCGGAAAGTTAGGAGCTGGGGTCGGAGCTGGAGTCGGAGAGGTGGGAGCCGAAATTAGAAACGGAGTCGTACAGATGGGACGGGAGTTGGAGTCGTAAGGTTGGGAGCCGGAGCTGGGGCCGGAGTCGGGGAGATGATAGCCGGAGTCAGAGCCAGAGTTGGAGAGATGGGATGGGAGTTGGAGACGAAACCATTGTCGGAGATAGGCGAGCCCTTGGGTTCAAATCAGACGTTGCTATTGGAGCCTCTTTGGGGAAGGAAAGGCATTATTCCACGTAATTCACAAAGTCGTCCTCCAAACCGTTCCATAATTGAGCATGTGATACCATATCTACCCATTGGATGTCGTATTGGTGTTCTGTAATACTCTTGAGAAGCTACACAATATCATCTTCCCAAGTGGTTCGCTGACCGCCGTGTCGTCGTTCTGCTCGTCGAGCGTCGTGCGCGCTCGGGTCCCAAATTATACAACGTCTCGTCCATCTGTCGGTGTAGTATTCAAGGGAGAAAAAACACCCGGACCGGACAATTGGCGTTTACTAAACGGCCCAGGGCGTTTACTAAACAGCCCTGCCCTGTTTGATTATTTCCTTGGGTGCGTTTACTAAACGGCCTGTGTGTTGGGGTGGTTATTATCGGGGTGGATGTTCTGCCCTCTATAGTAGTCTGCAACCCGAGCTGCGTAAATTCACTTCCTTGAGAACTATATGTGTCATACGGTCGGCCCTGATTAGTAGGTCGACCCTCCCAAATCAAGAGTACCCTTGTGTCCTGTATCTCGCGACCCATGCCTCCTACATTCCCATGGCAATGTGGCCCTTGGAAGGGTCTTGTGTCCTCTCGCGCGTCCCGTCCAATCAAGTCCGACTGTATGCGCGTTCGTTCTTGCACGGGCATGCGCTCCGCAACCTTTCTGGCAGCGTAGGTGCTGCAGCGCATGAAGCCCACCCAGGGCTCCAGGCCCTCGTTGTTGGCATCGTCGTCTCTTCTGCGAGGACCAGGGTCGTGCTGGTTATCGGTGTCGGCGGCTGTGATGTCGGCATGGGGCGTGGGAGGAGGAGGAGGACAAGGAGGAGGAGGAGTAAGAGGACCAGGAAGACGGAAGCTGGTGATGATAATAAGGAGGAATGTGCATGAGGAGCAGGAGGATGAGTGGGAAGTGTGGTGATCAGGATGGGGATTGGCGTCAGCGAGGAGGAGTAGCAGCAGCGGAAAGAGGAGGAGGAGGAGGAGGAGGAGGAGCAAGCAGAGGATAAGGGGGGAGATGGATGATGAGGAGAAAGAGGCGGAGGTCGAGGAGGAGGCGGAGGAGGACACGGAGGCGGAGAAGAGGAGGAGGAGGAGGAGGAGGAGGAGGGGGAGGAGGAGGCGGAGGAGGAGGATCATCGTCCACAGGAGGGTGGGCACAGTACTCGAATCCATTTGATCGAGTATCCATGCATGGAATCGCGCCCCGGAATCCAGAACACGAGAGGGCATCGATATGGATGTGTACGTTGCTCGTGGCCTTCGAAGGCCTCCGCAAGGCCCCCCTCCTGAGGAGCCTGGCCTCCTTGGAAGCCTCTCCCTGAAGGACCTCGTCCCAGGCCGCTCCTCCTGGGCCCCGCAGGCCCCGGGGGGTCTTGCGCATGATGGTCCACACACCCCACGGGAGTCTGTGCGACATATTCCTGGGATCATCTCTGATCTCGTCTGAGGCCTCCCTGGCGCATCCCGCCGCATCTCAATGCATCGAAGGACATTTCTGGAGCTTCCCCCGACCCTCTCGATCTCTCCCGCGGTTGTCCTCGCTCCGCTCACCGTACAAGTACCTCCAGAAACTTCCTGCGCATTTCGCGGAACCTGGGGACAGCATGCCGTAAGCATTCTGCTTCGAGAAGCCTCGTCTCACGACGCGCTGGTGGGGAGGTCGGCTCGGGAGCCCCGTTCTGCGAAGGAGCCGCCCTCCATCAGTGTAACGGCTTCAGCTGCTCCAGGCAAGGCGCTAAGACGAGAGCTTCGTTTTGATAACGGGACGAGACGCCGCCCATTCGTGTAGTTGCTGATCTCTTCGTTGGACGAGCGCGCGCGGCGCCATCGCTCACCACCCACCACACCACCCCAACCCAACCCGAAGGCTCAGATTTACCCTCGATTTCTAGTGGGGGGGGTCCGGGAACATCGAAAAAACACATATGGAGCCCATACCCCCCCCCAACCCGAAATTCGGGTCTTCGGGTTGGGTTGGGGTGGTCTGGTAGGTAGTCCATCGCGAGAATCATGCTGAAAACCACCTGTGCTCCACCCGGCAATTGCTTGACACCTCCAGCATCGAGGTCGCAAGACGAGGGAACCTCTCGGGCGGAGCACCTGGCCCCGCCCTGACGGCCATGTCTGCTGGGTGGGCAGGGAAGAGTCTGCTATGCTGAAGAGGGACAGAGGAGGGGGAAACATGAGAGGGGGACAGGTGGCGAGGAGTAGGAGGAGGAGGAGGAGGAAGAAGAAGGAGAAGAAATGGAAGACACATAGAAGGAGGATGAGAAGGTGGAGCCACTTGGGATCACCCTTTGAGCTACTTTGGCGTCGCCAGTGCCTCGGCTCCCTTCCGAGCTCCTGGGAACGAGCATTCCCCGACCCTCCGAGCTGCCGACACCGATCCGGGCCGGTCTGGAGCTGGCTCGCGTACAAGTGTACCGAAAATCGACTCGCTACGAGCCCCAACAACGATGTCTTCCACCGCGCCGCCCGCGGCCCTTGGTTTTCTCCCGCGCTCCCCCCCACACGGGATCCAAGGCACAGGACGGGTGGGCTGCGGAGGGGAAGGGGGAGGGGGGGAAGTGCAGAGTGGAGGTGGAGGAGGTAGTAGGCATGGAAGATTTGGGGGAGACATTGCGGACGGAGAAGAGGTGGCAGGGGGGGAGACAGAGAAAGAGAGAGAGAGAGATAAAAAGAGAGAGAGAGAGAGAGAGTGAGTGAGAGAGTGAGTGAGACAGAGAGAGAGAGAGACGTAGATGATTGAGGAGGGTGGATGAGGGTGGAGGAGGCGGATGGGGACGGGAAGGGGGTGGGGGGGGAGGAGGAGGATGCGGAGGATGCGGAGGAGGAGGATGAGGAGGGGGAGGGAAGGAGAAGGGAAAGTGGCCGCCGGGAAGGGGGGAGTGGTAGGAGGGGGGTTGAGCGGCGAAGGGGCAGGTGGAGTGGGTCTAGGGGGGGAGCGGGAATCTGAGCGGGAGGGAGGATGCGGACAGGGGTTTGGAGGAGAGAATTGAGGGAAGGGAAAGGTAGAAGCCTCCTCGTTCTCTCTCTCCCTCTCCTCATCCTTCCCCATCGCCCTCCTCTTCCTCCATAACTTCTCGTCGCCCGCCTCCGCCCTCGCCTCCCGCCTCCCCTTCACGCCCCCGTCCTCGCTCAGCCTTTCTACTCCGTCCGCTGCCCTCCTCGCCGGTCCTCTCGTCCCCTCCCGCCGCCCTCCCCCCCGCTGTCCCCCCCCCATCTTGTGGGGAATCACGGCGGCGCTGGACGCAGATCGACGTCAGGCAAGTCGGCGCAGCAACCCCCGTGTGAGATCTGATGGGTACCTGGACCGCTGGGCGGGACATTCTTTCGCCTGCCTGCTTTTGGCAGCCGCGCTTACTGGGCCCTGCCCGAAGGATGGCTGCCTGCCCCCCGCCGTTGTCGAGTTAGATAGGGCCTCGCATGTTTGATAGTTCCTGGGATTCCTGGAAGTTGCTTTTGGCTCATTGTTGTTCCTATCTCGATCTCCCCTCAGCGCTCTTGTGCATCCCAGCGCTTGCACATCTCAACGGCAGCGGCAGGGTGATCAATGAGAAAGCCTTGGCCGCCGTCGTCGTCCTCCTCCTGTCTCGGCAGGCGAATTGAGGGACAGAGCGCCGTGAGGACAAGAGGCGGGATGACAGGAAGCGGAGGTGGTGGAGTTCGGGATAGGATGGGGCCTGAGCGTAGACGCTGGTAGTCCGAAGTTGGCCGGCGTAGGCTCTGCTTTGCCTTTCTCTGACGTGTTGGTTCCGTTTGTGCGGGGCTGGCCTTTGAGCTTCTCATTCGCATTGTTCTTGTCCCGCGTTTGTTGCGGACAAACAAAAAAAGATGGGGCCGGAGCGAGGAGGAGACCGCACGAGTGTGTGTGTGTGTATGGGTGTGGGTGTGGGTGTGCGGGTGTGCGTGTGTGTGTATGTGTGTGTGTGTGCACGCTTGTTTCAGATGTCCAAGAAGGCTTTCCTCTCGAGCAAGGGCGTGGCAGTGGACGACTGCTACGACGCGGAGTCCCTGATGGAGCGAGCGGCAGAAACCCAGGAGCGTCTTGTGCGCCCAACCAGTTTGTGCACTTAGGGGTTCTTATTTCTGTTCTAAGGAATTGGGCCTGGGTGTCGGTCTGGCGGCTCCGTGTTTGCCGTCGCCGCCTCGTCGCCGCCCGTCGTCTGGGCCTGGATGTCGGTCTGGCGGCTCCGTGCTCGCCGTCGCCGTCGCCGCCTCGTCGCCGCCCATCGTCTAGGCCTGGGTGCCGGTCTGGCGGCTCTGTGCTCGCCGTCGCAGCCCCGTTGTCGCTGTCGCCGCCCGTCGCCGCCTCACATCGGTTCTCTTTTTCTCTCAGAAGGAATCAGAACCTACCCCACCCCCTGGGCATATCCGTTGTTGCTGTCGCTGTATCATTTACATCTGATCGTGCCCCATCGTTCATCCTGAATCTGACATAAAACCATCCCAGCTCAGCCAGTATCCATCGGCCCATACCGCCACCGTGTCTAGGATGTGGGTCGGACTTCGCAGGGAGGCTTCTTCGGGTCTCTTCGGAGCGCTCTCGGGGGCCCTCGGGAGCAGTTTTGGGGCCTCCTGGGAGTCTCTTGAGGCCTCTTGGGGGCTTCTTTGGGCCTCCTGAGGACCCTCGGGGCCGAGGGCTCAAAATTTCCGCCCGGGTTCTCCATCTCAGCCCCCTCTCGCGGCCGTCTTTGGGCCCTCTTGGGGTCTTGGGACCCTCTTGGGCCGTCTTGAGGCCCTTTTGGGAGCCTCCAGGGCAGTTTTGGGGCGATCTTGGGGGCCTCGTGTGCCGTCTTGGAGCGTCGGGAAGCCGAGAAGGCGAGAACGCCAAACTCCAGGGAGTGATCTTGGATGCTTCGTGGGGCGTCTGGAGGCTAACTATCTTGGGCGTCTTGGACGCTGGGCGCTCTTCGACGGTCTTAGCGGCCACCCGGGGCGGTCTTGGTCCGTTTTGGGGATCTCGTAGTTGCGGGGACCGTCCCAGAAACCTTCGCGGATTACCCCGGGATCGCCCAGGAGCGCCTGGAAGTGCCCAAGAATTTCGTGGTCCAGGCCCTTACGATCTGACGATCTTGTGGCTGTAGGATTACAAGAGCGTTGGGGCAGTCCACGATGTGCTGAAGGCCAGGTGGCAGATACACACAAACACACACACAGACAGACAGACAGACAGACAGACAGACAGACAGACAGACAGACAGACAGACAGACAGACAGACAGACAGACAGACAGGCAGGCAGGCAGACAGACAGACAGACAGACAGACAGACAGACATACACACATCTATATATATATATATGTTTATATATGCATTTATGTATGAACAAATCTATACATAGTTAATAAAAACAAGTACGCCGGGCCCCTTCCCGGGGCGTCCTCCACCTCGCTCACATCTAATGTACGCTCCCGGTACCGCGCTTCCCAGCCTCCCGGGGAGCCCCCACAATGCCCAAAGACAGTCCAAGACGACCCCAAAACAAGCAGCCCAGGATAGCTTTCGGGCGGCTCTCCAGGCTCTCAGGAGGCCTCCAAGAGACCTCAAGGGAGCTCCGAGAGGCCCACCGAGAGCGCCCAGAGAACCTAAAATCGTGAACTATCTTTGGTTGTTTTTCTGGTCTTTTAGACTTCTCACCATTTCATGCTTCCAGCGCTCCAAGACGGCCGACGAGGCCCCCAAGACCGCCCCAGAGGCCCCAAGATGGGCCAAGTCGGCCCAAAGACTGCCGAAGAGTCGCCCCGGACAGCTCCAGACCACCCCAGAGCAGGCCCCATATGAGCCCAAGAGCGGGAGCAGGGGGCCTCCAGAGACCTCCGAGAGGACTCCAGGACCCTCCAGAGGCCTCCAACACACCCCAGACCCCTGAGAGGCCCTGCAAAAGCGTTTACGAGGCCCCCCAAACAGCCCAAGAGAGTTTCGAGAGCCGTCCCGAGAGAGCCCGAAGAGGGCAAAATCGTTGATTCTCAGTGGTTGTTGTCGACTTGTTTCGCCTTCTCACGTTTTGCGGCTTCCAACGCTCCAAGACCGAGGAATTTGAACAAAAAAGGAAATTTCAGAGATTCCGTGTTTTTTTTCTCCAAAATTCAACAAATGCGCGCCCCTTCCTCCCACACCTTCCCGGAACATCTCGTGCACGCTCCCGGTACCGCGCTTCCCGGCCTCCCGGGGAGGCCCCCCCAAAAAGCGCCGACCAGGCCCCCAAAATAGGGCAAGAGAGCTTCAAGAGCCGTCCCGAGAGAGCCCGAAGAGGGTAAAAGGTAAAATCGTTGCTTTCCAATTGTTTTTGTTGAATGTTTCCGCCTTCTCTCGTTTTCCAGCAACCAACGCTCCAAGACCGAGGAACTTGAAACTCAAACAAGGGGGATTTCAGATAGTCCTCTTCCCTCTTTCAAATTCAACCAGTGCGCGCCCGCGCGCCCCCTCCTGCCGGGGGCCCCACAACTTCCCGGAACATCTGCGGAACGCTCCCAGTACCGCGCTTCCCGACCTCCCAGGAAGCCCCCCAAACGCCCAAGGACAGCCCAAGACGACCCCAAGAAGCCCCCAGAACGTCAAAGAAAGGCTCAAGACGCTGCCAAGCAACCCAGGATAGCTTTTGGGCGGCTCTCCAGGCTCCAAGGAGGCCTCCGAGAGACCTCAAGAGAGCTCCGAGAGGCCTCCCGAGAGCGCCTGGAGAAATTAGAAATCGTTAAGTATCTTTGGTTTTTGTTGCAGGGTTTTTGGACTTCTCACCATTTCATGCTTCTAACGCAAGACGGCCGACGAGGCCCCCAAGACCGCCCCGAGACCACCCAAGAGGCCCCCAAGACGGCCCCAAGACGGGCCAAGACGGTCCCAAGACTGCCGAAGAGGCGCCCAGGACAGCTCCAGACCACCTCAGAGCAGGCCCAAGATGAGCCCAAGAGCGGGAGCAGGAGGCCTCCAGAGACCTCCGAGAGGACTCAAGGACCCCCCAGAGGGCTTCCACACACCCCAGACCCCTGAGAGGCTCCCCCAAAAAATCCGACGAGGCCCCCAATACAGCTCAAGAGAGTTTCGCAAGCCGTCCCGATAGAGCCCGAGTCGGGTAAAATCATTGCTTTCGAGTGGTTTTTGTGGACTTGTTTCGCCTTCTCACGTTTTCCCGCTTTCAATGCTCCAAGACCGAGGAATTTGGAAACAAAGGATTCCAGAGATTCCCTGTTTTTCCCAAGTTGGGACTCCTACTCCCCATTCTCTTCGTCGGGCTCCATCAAGACTTCGGGGCCACATGCGAAAGTGTTTCGGGAATGCTGTTGAACTCTCTGACGCTGTCTTGGCACTCTCTTGGATCGCCTTCGTGTCCTCTTGGCTGCCCCTGAAACCATTATAGAAATCGAGATCCCATGATCACATGAGTTGAAGCAGTTGAATGTTATTGTTTCAAACTCACCCCCTGCTTATTTTTGCACGAAGACCCCGAGAGGCATCCCAACAGACCGTGGCCTGCATCCATAAAACATCTAATTCTCAGCCCAGGCACTACAACTTGAACAACAAGTGAAGTCCAACCGCTCCGTTTTTGTTGAATTTCGCCCCGCCGTCTACTCTTGAACGGCAGACCACAGTGAAGACCCCGGAAAAGAACCCAGGAAGCCTTCGAGGGCCCCAAATCGTTGAACACCTAACGGCAATTCATGATTTCTGCGTTTCCGCAGCTCCCTTTCGATACGATTCCGAGGCTTGCGCAGTGCTTTCAAGAGAGTTCTTGGGCACAAGAAACGACAAGGATGAGATTCCATGTGTTCGCCCATCAAGCCTAACTAGAATTTGAGCGCGCGCGAAGCGCGCGCGCGATGGTTCCAATATACGTATACTTATATGAATATATATGTAGACGGGGATACCAACACAACAGAGAGAGAGAGAGGGAGAGAGAGAGAGAGAGAAACATACAGAAAGAGTGACAGACATAGCGTGTGTGTGGGCAGCAGCCCAGGGCCACTGAAGTTTGCGCTCGTCCCGCCTTCTGTCGTGCACCGCCGATTGGAGTGACTGAAAGTCAGAGGAAGAGTGTGCGGACGCCAACCCAGCATGGGGACATATGGTACGACGCGCCCTTGCAGACCTGTGTCTGCTGCGTGGCCCTGGCCCTGTGGAAGTGCAGTCTATGGGGCAGGCACCGCAGGATGTGCTGGCCTGCTTCGTGCCTCTGGCGTGGTCGTGGGACGCGCAATCGTGAAGTTCAGCGGTCCAGAGCATATGCCAGCTGCTAGGTGTGGAGGACAATCCTTCTTTCTCTTCAGATCGGGCCGTTTCGAGGTCCCCCCCAGGCCACTGTCCACTCTGTGAGTTTGCTAGTCGCAGGTCAGAATGAGAAAGGTGGGTCTTTGGGCGACTACATTGGGGGTGTGGTTTCGCCAGGGTCTCTAATTTGCGATCTGCGTCGTTGGGCTCTGGAGGGCTCCACGTTGCCCTCGTCGGGCCTCCTCGGGGCGCGGCGGAGAACTGTGTCCAGGTCCTCGCCCGCCCCCCCCCAAGGTGCAAGACCCGGGGAGAACGAGGGGGAGGCGCAAAGCTTGGCGGCCCAGCCGCCGAGTCTTGCGCCCCTCCCTTCCCCTTCCCTCCCCCATTCCCTCCCCCTTTCCTCCCCCTTCCCCCCTCCCCCTTTCCCCACGAGTCCCTCGCGTCGTAACAAAAGCACGGTTGGAGAGGTGCTTGGGGACTCAGGGATCGGAGTTCGGAGTTTTCGGGGTATGTATGCTTCAAGCCCTGATGGCCACGGCCGGGTCCGCCTCGAAGTATTGTCCACAACGCGTCGGGGGGGGGATCCTTCACCGAGCGCAGAATCCCGACCCCGACGACGGCGGCGGCAACGACGACGGCAGCTTCCTGCCCGGCAGCCGCGTTGCTGGCCACCGCCGCGGCCACGGAGCCTGGGCGCCCCAGGGGCGCGCCACGGGTCTCATGCTGCTGCCGATTATGCGCCATCCTCTCCCTCCCTCCTCCTCCTCCCTCGCGCTCAAGCTAACTTGCAACGAGCTTAGTATAGTCAAAAAAAAAGTAGCCTCCTCCCT